CCATCTCAGATTGTGCCGGGTAGTCAGTGACTCACCCTTATTGTACTAAATGCTAAGCTCTGACTCAGAGTGAACCCTATTAGTTGCTGACTGACAGTGTAGTTGTTTGAATAGAAGCTCACATTGTGAGTCACCTGGTGGTGCACTGAAAACCAATCTGAAATATTCCCAACTGGACAGTGATTCACATTATAATCATATTGGGATTGACTTGAAACATGTGATTTCAAAACTAAGTTCTGCCAAACTGGCTTGGGAGCATGCTAGAAAGTCACTCCCTTCTTAACACCCTGTCCTTCTGTTTAAGAACATGTAGTAAGCATCCCAAGATGCAAAATCAAGAGTAGGGCATTCATGCAAGAGGTTTCATGGGGGCCAAAGAAAAAAAAAAAGAGCAAGATACTCAGTATCCAGTTCACACACTGGAGAAAACCACAGTTTCCTTTTTCAAGGATGCAGGCATAATTCCTAGAAGTACCTTCCCTGGAAGACACACAAGCCCTATAAATAACTTTGAACGACCAGATGTTAACCAGAAAGGCTCTGCCATATAATTCTTAAACTGCTCATGTGAGGGCTGGACCTTTTTTTTTTTTTTTTTTTTTTGATATGGAGTCTTGCTCTGTCGCCAGGCTGGAGTGCAGTGGCACAATCTCGGCTCACTGCAACCTCCACCTCCTGGGCTCAAGCATTTCTTCCACCTCAGCCTCCCAAGTAGCTGGGACCACAGGCATGTGCCACCACACCCGGCTAATTTTTGTATTTTTAGTAGAGACAGTGTTTCACCATGTTGACCAGGATGGTCTCGATCTCTTGACCTCGTGATCCGCCCACCTCAGCCTCCCAAAGTGCTGGGATTACAGGCGTGAGCCACCATGCCTGGCTGAGGGCTGGACCTTTAAGCCATCATCTGCCTCTGTCCGTGGAAGGTAAATGTTGTTAAATGGCCCCATGCAGAAACAGAACAGTAGGATTTCAGGAATTGATACTCAAGTGCCTGGAATGAAACCAGTTACAGGCTACTGCATTAAAATAAAAAAGCTTTTTTTCTCCTTTACTCTCGCTAGTCCATAAAATCACCTTCCGTGTAATTTTGAAGACCTTTCTAAAAGGCTTTCTTATAGGAAAGACCTTCAAAGCCATCAGGAAGGATATTTTAAGAATTCAAAAATAGCTCAAAAACGATTTCTAAACTGTTAACAAGAGATTAATAGAATATGCAATCAAATGTCTACCTAAGTAGGGCCTAAAATGCTAATACTGGCTCTGACAGTAGCTTGATCTGTGACCTTACCTTACTTGAAGTGAGTCATGTGGTCATGTCTTATAATGTGAGGGACCAAGATAAAGCTGTGGGACAACAGTAACCACGACATGACTGCCTGGTCTTTGTTGGGGCTATAGATAGCACATGCTTGTACACTTTTTTTTTTTTTAATGTATACTTTCTGTCTGTTAAGAGTTCACTAATCCATAGTAAACAGGAAATTAGCAGTGTGGTGTGTAAGCGCCCCGGGGAATGAGTCAGAGATCCTCATTCTGTTTTGGCCCCTAATTAGCAGGAGATCTCTGGCCCAGACCCTTAACCTCTCTCAATGTTTCCTCATCTGTAAAATGAAGGAGGTGGAATAAGAAACCTGATTTTCATCATTCTGTATTTTTTCTGTAAGGGGTGTTTCAGCTAAAACGTTTACAGTCTCAGACAAGTTAGCACTTCGAGCTCGTAAGGTACATTTTCAGATTCTTGTAAGCTGGCTGTTCACCAGCCCTGGCAATATAGCGAGATCTTGTCTCTATAAAAAATGAAAAAAGTAGCCAGGTGCAGTAGCAGCCACCTTAAGTCTCAGCTACTCCTGAGGCTGAAGTGGGAGGATCCCTTGAATCTGGAAGTTCAAGGGTGCAGTGGGTCTCGGTTGTGCTGCTGCATTCCAGCCTGAGTGAGAGAGTGAGACTCAGTCTCAAAAAAAAAAAAAAAAAAAAAAAAATTGGCCGTTTTAAAAATTTTGATGATGGACATGTGTTTCATTATGCATACTCTTTATAGTATACAAAAAAATACGCATTCTGTTCCTAATCTTATTTAAAGTTTGAAGTCTAGCCAATTATATCAATATAATAATAGTAATAACAGCTGTTGCTTGGTATGTACCAACCAGTTATAAGAGCTCTGTTACTAGTTTACTGAATGCTGTCAGCTAGCCCATTAGGTAGGGTTCTTGTTGCCAATGGCTCAATCTCGGCTCACTGCAACCTCTGCCTCCCAGGTTCAATCGATTCTCCTGCCTCAGCCTCCCGAGTACCTGAGATTACAGGCATCTGCCACCATGCCTGGCTAATTTTTGTATTATTATTATTATTATTATTATTATTATTATTATTATTATTTTTTGAGACGGAGTTTCGCTCTTGTTGCCCAGGCTGGAGTGCAATGGCGCGATCTCGGCTCACCGCAACCTCCGCCTCCTGGGTTCAGGCAATTCTCCTGCCTCAGCCTCCTGTGTAGCTGGGATTACAGGCACGCACCACCATGCCCAGCTACTTTTTTGTATTTTTAGTAGAGACGGGGTTTCACCATGTTGACCAGGATGGTCTCGATCTCTTGACCTCCTGATCCACCCCCCTCGGCCTCCCAAAGTGCTGGGATTACAGGCTTGAGCCACCGCGCCCGGCTATTTTTGTAATATTAATAGACACGGGGTTTCACCATGTTGGACAGGCTGGTCTTGAACTCCTGACCTCAGGTGATCCACCTGCCTTGGCTTCCCAAACTGCTGAGATTACAGGCGTGAGCCACCGTGTCCAGCAGAGGTAGGTATTCTTATCATCCCCATTTCACAGACCATGAAACTAACTCCCAGAGAGGATAACTAGTCCGAGGTTATGCAGTTAGGTTGGGATCTGAACCCAGTTCCAGAGCTCAAGACTCTCACCAGTTAGGCAGCACTGCCTTTCATATGCGTTACTAACATGTGATAAGAAAGACGTCACTTAATGAACAGAAGATGAACAGGATGAGGCCCAACAGAAAATTAGGTTTTGACCAAAAAAAATTTTAACAAAAATAATAAATTGCAAACCATGGTTGTGCCAAAAAACGTACAGATGGTAATTTCACTAGAAATGCCCTTGTTAAGTGTGGGGAGGAAGTCAGACCATTTTATGCACTTGAACATTTGTTTAGTCAATTTCACGGCCTGGAGCCACTAGAAGTGAAATGAAACCAAGCCACGCCAGGGCCCCGTCACCTGTGTCCCAAGGAGGGAGGCTGGAGACTGATGCAGAATCTCCTTGCCCCCCACACTCCGGAGCAATGAGGAACCCGCGTGCAGGTGCCTGATTCTGCTAGCCAGTGAGTGAGGGTCCTGCCGGCACCGAGGGCACCGGGGCTGGGGTTGCGACACCAACCAGCCAGGAAACTGAAGAATGTGGGGAGGAACCCCAGTCAGGAAACTGAGGGATGTGGGGAGGTTGACAAAGAGCGATAGGCTTTTGCCAAATTCTGAGACCGACAGGAATCGAGGAGATTTTCCCTCTAGCGCTCTCCACCTTCGGGACAAAATCCTGTCAACCACGTTCCCTTCTCCAGCCTGAGCATTGCCGGTGCCCCAGGGGCAGCAGCTGCTTCCCCGGGATCCCCCTCTTCTGTCCCCGAGCGCTCCGCACCGTCGCGTCCCTGTTGCTGGGGTTGCTCGCTGGCCCTGGCTGCACGCCAGGGTTTTCCTTCGACGCAGTCAAGTCCGGGATGCTCAAGATGCACCTCAGTGCCCGCGCGCCGCCTATCCCAAAGCCCCTTCGCCACTCACTCCCCCACAAGCGCGGAGGGAGCCGGGGAGGTCACGGGGCCTATAGACCCCCTCCCGGGGCCCACTCTCTCCCGCCCACCTCTCTAGCGGCGGGAGGGCCGCAGCGCAAGCAAACCTCTCCCCAAAACGCCCACCCCCCTCTCTGCAAGCAGCTTCTCTCAGGGCTCCTCCCCCACCCATTCCTCCACCGGAGCTGGGTGGGGGCATCGCGGCTCACAGAGCCGGGAAAGCCACCCTGTCCCGGAGCGCCGCTTCCCTAGAGGCTCCTGGCCCATCCGTTCCCCCAACGCAGGAGGACAGCAGCGCATACAGACCTTCCCCTCCAACGCCCACCTCAGTCCCCCGCTGCTTCCCGCACCTCCAATCCCCGCCCCCAGTCTCCCGCCCTCCGCCCCCAGCTTTCCAGTCTCCGCAGTCCCGGTGCCCAGACTTGTTGCGACTTCCCAAGGCAGCTCCGAGAGTGCGGAAGATGAAGCCCCCGGGTTTGTTCCAGGAAAATCTCTGCAGCACCCCCACGTTAACCTCCTTGGCGCAGGCGAAGGGTGGAGAGCACTTCTGTTCATCTGGTTTTAGAGAGCGTCACCAGAGGCCCCGAGTGAACGCCCACACCTTGTTGGCCCTCCAGGGTCCACGCGTGGGGCGCCCACTTCTCCACCCCGCCCCTCTGTACCCCCGCTCTGGTTGCACTTTTCCTAAAAGGAGGCGCTGCGATTCCGGGAGGGTTTCCTTTTCCTTCCCAGCGGCGCTCAAACCTCCGGCCTCGGGCGCCCTGGCCCTTCCTTGCCCTCTCCCTATCCAGTGAGAACGCCGACGCTTCCACCGCCTGGACTTTCCAACACACGCTTCGGGTGGTCAGTGCGATTTCTAGGGTCTAAAGTCTAGACTCCCGCGTCCTCCACCGACCCGAGGCCGCAAAGATGGAATCGCGGACGCCCTGGCAGATCCGGGACAAATGGGTCCTGGTGGCGCGAAGCCCCTCTTCGGACGCGACGCACCCGCAAGCTCCACTCCCCCAAACTCCCACTAATGCTGCGGGCAAGCACCCCCGACTCGCACTCGTTCCCGCCCCGCAGCCACGGCGACAGCCCGCCGTTCCGACGAGCTGCGCGCCCCTCCCAGCCTCGGCCACTTCCCAGCGCGAAGCTTAAGAGCGAGCCCGAGAGGAAGAAAGAGAGGTCGAGGAACCGGGATACTCACGAGCCCACCGTCCACCCCGCCAGCCGGAGGGGAAGCCCCGGCCGGCTCGCCTCCGTCCGCCGTGCGCATGCGTCCCGCGGGTGCCTTCTTGCTATTGCCGCGCCGCGGGCTGCCCTCTCCACGTCGGCGATCGCTTTCCGCGCCTTTCCCCTTCCTTCGGCTCACGGTCTCGGCTCTAGCACTCTACTCCCGGCCTGGCCTCTTCCTCCCCTTGCTCTGCCTTCTCCCCGCCCCCTCACTCCCTTTACCCGGCGGGGCAATCCCACGCCTCGCCTCCCTCCAGCGGCGGCGCACTCCACCAAGGCGGGGGCGAGGGGTACCCCCGAGGCCCCACGCGCGGCGCGACTTCCGCCCCAGTCGCAGCCCCACTGCTCCAGTCTCGGATTAGCAAGTCCCAAGAGTGTGGATGCGAAGCCAGGCGCGCGTGGAGGGCGTCGTGAAGCCCCCTGTGTCATCACTTTCCCTCGGCGCGCGGGGGCCGAGCGCGACTCAAGTGTGCGGGGCTGCGTGCTCGGACCTTGTCAATGAAGGGAGCGGGAGGGAGCAGCGGGGGTGGGCGGCGAGCGCAGAGGGGGTGCTCGGTCCCCAGAGCTTCGCGTCGGTGGACTGCCCGCCTCTGGAGGGCAGCCCCCTATCGTCTCCTCGGCCCGGGGCGCCTCTCCGAGCTCTGTCCCCGCCCCACCCCGGCGCAGCCTCCGCCTCCGGTCTTCCAGCCCGGGAAAGCTGCCCTCGCCCTCTCCCAGCGCGGAGGCCCCACTCGGCAACCGAGCTGGGGGTAAGGGGAGGAACTAACCCCTGACTCCGGATCTCGCTGAGACCCTCGGTAGTCGCCCTCCGCGCCCCCTTCTCCAGGGACTTCGGAATCCTGGGAGAGGAGTAGATCAGAGCGTGGCCGGGGAACCCAGCCGCCCAAGTATCCGGACTCGCAGCACCGCGCGTCCCAGGAGCCCGCGGCGTCCCCTGGGGAGTGGGGCCCGTTGGGGCCGCGGGGGTAGTTCCCCGGAGCCGGGAGGGCTAAGCTGAAGCTGGAAACTGACCTGACACAAAAATAACATCACGTCATTTCCTCCCTTGCCTGCCGAGAGGGCAAGGGAGTGGGAGAGCGAGCGCGGGGAGCCGGCGGAGGCGCGTCTGGGGGAGGCTTGGAGTAGGGAGAGGAGAGCGCGACGCGGAGAGTTTGAAAAGCAGCCTCGGGGGGAAGAGCGAGGGCTCCCTTGTGTTTTCTTGGACCCTGGAAAAGAAATGGCCCGGGAAAAAGTAGCTTGGAGTGCCTTCCTGCGGGGAGGGGCGGTGTCCCGGGAGCCGCCAGCGTCCCATCCTGGGACTTGCACAGCCATGTCCCGGCCTTCCCGACCTTGCCACCCTCCCCGCTGCTGGCCCCGGCGGAGCGGGTCAGTTGGGGTTAGGAAGAAGCGGGAGAGGCTGGTGTCCTGGGGAGGCTGAGTGTGGGGCGTGGTGGAGACCATGGTACTTACCGGCGTGGGCGAGCTCTGCCCAGCGGTGGCGTCGTCTTCCCTGGTCTTGGTGACCGGATGGACGGGCCTCAGCGGGCGACCCCCCAAGGGTAGGCCAGACAATGCCAGAGCCGCCCCGAGCAGGAGCGAGAGGCGGCCTGGCAGCTCCTCGTGCCCCCGCGGGAGCCGGGCGGCCGGCAGGGCGGGAAGCAGCGGGGAGAAGTCCGGTCGCCTCTGGGAAGCCTCGGGAGGGGGTCGCCGGAGAAGGTGAGAGAAGAACCTTGCTAGGCTGGAAAGCGGGCTAGAAAGGAGGCCGAGCAGCTTCGGGGCAGCGGGCGAGTCTGGGAGCTGTGCAGGCGTGAAGGGCTGGGCGGGGAGAGAGAAACAAAACCAGCAGACGGTTACTGTGGTGTCTGGCCGCTTAGACAGGGCTCTGTACTACAGAATTTTGAGGCGTTACTTTGGGGGTGCAAGGAAAGGTCGGTGAAAGCAGAAGGAAGGGCCTATGGTTAGATTCTTTCCCCTTCCACTCCTGTTTTTCCTAACTCCGTGTTACTTCAAGTGTGGTCCGTGGGCCAGCAGCTTCGCCAACACCTCGGAGCGTGTTAGAAATAAAGACTCTTGCCAGGCGCGGTGGCTCAAGCCTGTAATCCCAGCACTTTGGGAGGCCTAGGCGGGTGGATCACGAGGTCAAGAGATCGAGAACATCCTGGTCAACATGGTGAAACCCCGTCTCTACTAAAATACAAAAATTAGCTGGGCATGGTGGCGCGTGCCTGTAATCCCAGCTACTCAGGAGGCTGAGGCCGGAGAATTGCCTGAACGGAGGTTGCGGTGAGCCGAGATCGCGCCATTGCACTCCAGCCTGGGTAACAAGAGCGAAACTCCGTCTCAAAAAAAAAAAAAAAGAAAAAAGAAAAAGAAAAAGAAATAGACTCTTGAGCCCCACCCAGCCTACTGCATCGGAATCTGCATGGTAACATTCCTAGCGGACTCCAATGCGCACTGAATGTGACATGCAGTATGCAGAAGGGTCTGTGTTCACATCTCTTGGTTCTTTAGAATTTGGATGAAAATCTTGGTTCACTTTTGCAACTGTTGCTCTTCCCCTCCCTTCTCTGGTCTTCCCTTGTTCCTCCTGTCTTTTCCGATCTCACTAAGTGTTCAGGGCTCTGCTTGCCAGAGGCACAGAGTTGGACTTGGCTACTAGATTCTATTAAGGTAATTGTCTATGGGGGGTTCAGATAGTGGCTGAAGGTGGCTGACGGGCCCCAGACCCTCCACAGGCTGGTTGGAGGAAGGGACTGGCCAGTGTGGCTATGAGTATGCTGCTGGAGCAGGGGACACCAGGACTCCATGTTGGGGCCGCTGCTACAGGTGAACCCTCTGCAGGCCCCCTTTCCAAACTCCGTGTGTCCTTCTTATTCTCGGGAACGCCGGCCTTTCCACTTTCCACTTGTTGCTTAGGAGGCCTAAGCAAAGAGGTATTTGTTTCCCCTTGAAAAGTGGAGGGCAGCATTAGTTTAGAAGTCAGAAGCCCACTGTTCTAGACCCAACCTTACCCCTCACTTCGTGGCTAACCTTGGGAATGTCTCTTTATTTTTTGAGTTCATTTATAAAGGAGTTGAACTCAGTGGCTTTTTAAGGTCACCTGCCTCGTTCAGGCTCTCATCTTTGAGAAGCTTTCAATTTCTTGATACATTAACGTTTAGTGTAAATACAAACCGGAATCTAGCTCGGCCAATGCAAACACCCCCTCATGGCAAACAAAAAACAATTTAATCTGTCTGTGAAAAACAAGAGCGGTGGTTGCCAAAAAAAAAAAAAAAAAAAAAAAAAAAAAAAAAAAAAAAAAAAAAAAAAGAAGAAGAAGAAGAAGGTGGAGGGGGGAAGCAGCGAATAAAGTACCGAGGTGGGGCGGCGCGGGCGGTGAGGGCGGGCGCTCTGGGCTGGGCGCGGGTCCCCGGGGCGCGGCGGCCGCTCTCCAGGGTCCTGAAGGCGGGAGCGGTCGCGGGCGGCCTCGTGGGCCTGGCGCGGTTCCCTCACTCCGCAGTCACCAGGCCCGGCCTGTTTTCTTTCGGCGGTGGAAATCTTGTGGGAAGCGATTGTCAGGAGAGAGGGAAGGAAACCTAGCAACCCATTCTCATTCATGAGGCCCTTTCTGGGAAGCCGCGAGTGCAGTGGCTGATTTGTCTTTCTGTCGTTTGTTTGCTCCCGGGTGAGCTGAACTCGGTTTGCATTTCCGAGTAAGTTCACACTGTTTCACTTCCCCTCATTACCTTTTCCTGGAGAATGGGGTCGTTCTCCTAGTATTCTCACTCTCCCCGTTCAGCTGCTCCCCTCCCCCGCTTTCTGGCAAGGTGCTTTTATTTTAGGGGCTGGAACTGGGAGCCGAGGAGGCTTCTGGAGAAGCGCCAGCCGCTCGCTCGAGGGGGGAAAGTGGGCGACTTGGAAATCGGCCTTGGCCCCGAGGGAATGAGCTTCGGAGCGTTGGTCTCGCCCGAGAGGAGGGCAGGGGACGCGCTCCTCCGGCTGCAGCTTGGGGTGGAGGCCTCCGCGGGGCAGCTGGTCCTGGCCTGCACCTGCGGGGGACTGCGGGCCCACGGCCGCGTCTGCGCCCCGCTCCGGAGCTGGGGCCCTCGGCGAGGGGCGGAACCTCGGCGGCTGTGGGCGCCCGGGCCGGAGGGACCCTACACTAAGAAGTCGAGAGAGGACCAGCCGGGTTCCCAGCGACCTAAAGCCAGACTGAGCCTATCCACGACCTTCCCGATCCCACGCAAGGGCTTGAACAAAGCCGAAATGCCGAAAGCGAGCTCCCAGCACTCTTCTGCGAAGCACGCCCAACTTCGAGGAGCCGAGCTCCAAAGGCCTTTCGTGGGTCCCAGAATTTGGCGTCTCCAGCTCATGTTTTCACGTGGTTTTGTGATAACGCGCGTACTCGTAACCTCGTTTCTCCCCTCGCCCCAGCCCTTCTTCCCAAGTCACTTGCACGCCCCTGCCCCTTCCTCCGGCACGCTTCATTAGGCATTTTGCTTCGGTCCTGTGCTTCAAGACAGAGACTCTTGTGAGGGAAGTCGTCGAAATGTTCAGACAGAATAAAAGTCCCAAACCTGATCCAAGAAAAACAAAACTCAGCTCCTTTGCTCAGTCACCGCTTGCTGGCCCCATACTGGCCTCCTGATCAGCCGCCTGCTCGCCTACAGCTCTGCAGCCACCGCGAGCCTGGCGCGGGACCCAGGGGCTTCTCCAGTTAGGGGAGGGGATGAGGGTGAATCAAGCAAGGTGTTGGGTGCTGGAATCCTTCCGCACCTCAGGCAAAAACAGAGCCGAAGAGTATCAGTGTAGCCATACAATTCGATCTGAGGAAAGTTATCTGAGGAATGACTTTCAGCTGCCCGCAGGGCTTGCACTTCAGAGAGCCTTGTCTCTTTCAGGCCAGATTCTGTTTGACAGTCTGAGGGTTTCAATAATAGTCACAAAATGGAATCATCAGGACTGTAATTCCTGGAAGCACTGGTCCTTAGGGATCCAGAAGATTTAGGGATTATTTTATTCTGATTGAACCACCACTTCCCTAATCAATCATGTTGGCTACTGAACAGTAACTAGAATGCATTTACACAAACGAAAATCGCCACAGCCCAAATCTGTATGAACCATGTTCTGGCCATTTCCAATAGAAGGTTTGTAAATAGCAGCATTTCATAAGGGAAACATCCGTAGTAGAATAAACGACATCTGTACCAAAAATTTCTGAGCGCCTTTAGAATTAAAGTCACAGTTCAAATAGAATTTGAAGTCAGTTTTAATTTTACGAAATGACTTATTTCCTCCTGAACTTTATTTTTAAGTTCCACTTTGCTGTGGTTTAGTCATATTATACATTTTAACTTTCTGTTATTTGGAAATGTAATTCTTCCACTTGGACCGAAGAATCTAGCTGACAGTGAAAACTATAAAGGCAAATCTTTCCCGGCACTGACCATAAATTATGCCGATTGAAAGGTGGCAATATAAATAAGCTAACAGGTCCTGGCTATTAGAGC